GGGAGGCCGTCGACGGGGCCTCCGTCTGCAGCCGGCTTGGCGGCCAGCTTCTGCTTGAACCGGAGAAAATCTTTCTTGGTCTCCTGGCGAACCTTCTCTCGCTCCTTAAACATGTACGACTCTTCTGTGTGTTTCAGGCCAAAGTGCCTCGGGACGGCGGACATCTTGACAAATGTCCTGTAAGACAGCCCCCCCCCAAAAAAAGTCATATATACGGTATATAGAACGAAACTGCTGTCGATAAATAAAATTCCAGCGCAGTGATGGAAACTCGCTGCGCTCCCTGAGGCGCAAGAGGGTCAAATTCGTATATTATTGTATATCCGTCTATCGGCCTTTTTACAAGAACCCTGAAACGCCTCTAAAGCTGTCATGTTTTCCTCCAGTGGAAGTTTCCCAAACCCTTATAGGAGTCAACATTTTCTCTAGACGCGAGCACAACGTCCCACTTCTGAGCAAGAGAGACCACACGAAGCGTAGCATAGAAAATCCAAAGCAGCCCTGCTAAGAGAGCACAGATGTCACCAACTGTGGCCTGGATGCAGCCCGTATTGCTCAGAGTATTTCAACAATATTAATCCATAGCCAGCAACTTTAAATGGAAGGGTTTTCACATAAAAATTCAGATTTGCCTTTTCTCTGGGAAAAAAAGAAAAATGAAAGCTCTGGCAATGCAACGGCCACATCCTGGCTCCTGTGGCTCAGTGGCTATCTCCCCTTCCCTCTACAGCTGGCCTCAGGTGTCCCCTTCCTCATCCAGCCTCCTCCCTCAGTGTATCACCTGAGCCACCACGAGCACTAAAGAACTACATAGAGCTAGAACAGAGTTCTGCAAGGGATTTGGATTTTTTAATTATACAAAAACCAATAGCTTCCTTTATGTCAAAATGGTCCAAAAACATAATGGTAATATTTATTTTTAAAAGTAAGAGTCTAGGCATTTACATAACAAGAACTGTACTAAAAATATTTGAGTCGATGTTTTTAAATTTTACTGAAGGACATTAAAGACAGAGTCAACTAAATAGTGAGTGTTTCTTGATGGGAAAACCAAATATTTTAAATATATTAGGCCTTCCCAGAATACTGTATTGGTTTCATACCAATACAAAAGTCTAGAAATGATATTTTGAACTTTGAAAATTAATATTGTTGAAATACTCTGAGCAATATAGTCTAGAACCAGGCCACTGGCCATAGTTGGTGGCATCTATTCTCTCTCAACTGGGCTACTTTGGATTTTCTATGCCCATGCTTAGTGTGGAATTCATTTGAAATAATAAACAGGTGGGCCAGGCATAATGGCTGACTCCTGTGATCCCAGCACTTAGGGAGGTCGAGGCAGGCAGATTGCTAGAGCCCCAGAGTTTGAGACTAGCCTGGATATGGTGAGACCTTGTCTTTCCAAAAACTCAAAAAGAAAATTAGCTGGGCATGATGGTGCACCTGTAGTCCCAGTTACTTGGGATGCTGAGGTGGAAGAATCACCTGAGCTCAGGAGATTAAGGGTGTTGTGAACCATCATGATCAGGCCACTGCACTCCAGCCTGGGCAACAGAGTGAAACCCTGACTTGAAATAATAATAATAACAACAACAACAATAAACAGGCAAGATTAGCCAAAAAATTGGAAAAAGGAAATGAGAGAGCAACCAGATAAATAAGAAGCTCCTGTCAAATTTAAAGTATCTTTCCTGTTGGTGTATTTTTTAGATAGAGAGAGCAACTTTCTTTTAAAGAATCCAAACTGAAAAACTGCTGCTAGAATCAATGGGTAGTCTGAGAGAGTGAGAAAAAGAATTAAAAATAATATTATAAATGCAGAATTAAATTATTGTTCAATAAGTTATGCTGAGGCAATTGCTTGACTGGTGCATTTTTGGGGTGTATTTTATGTCATGCATTAAAATAAATTCAAATGGATTTAAAAACTCAAATGTGGGAAATATTTGTTATTTTACTTTACAATTTATTTGCTTATCACTGATCCACATTTCTTGGCTGGACTCATATCAGTTCATAAAAGAGTTATCTTGACAATTCGAATTCTTCATTTATCATTAAACATCCCATTTATCCTCCAAATATAGTCATATTCTAAAGTACGAACTGCGGATTCTTAAACTGAAGACATGATAGAGCTCTTATCTAGGAATCAGTAGGCTTTCTTTCTTTCTTTTTCTTTTATTTTAAAGATGTGGGGCACAAGGCTTTCATTCTTTATCTAGCTTCGCCAATGACTAGACCTCGGACAATGCAATTCTATCCATACCAAGAAGTTGTGTTAACAAGTGAAAATAATGGTTTTCCAGGTCATAGTAAATGAACATTAGAAATGATTTCTAAAGCCCTTTAGAAAATGTTTTATTATGTTAAAAAAAATGCTACATAATTCTCCTCACATTCTGCTATTGTTTGCACAGATGGCCATATGTTCATAGCAACATCATCTGCATTTCTTCCTGCAAAAGGTTGGAAGGTAGTAACTGAAACAGAGCACAGACCAGAAGTACATAAATACCTGATGAGAAGCTGACTTGACTCTCCCACCAGCACTTCCCTTTGTTATGTCTTAGTTCCTGCTTTGGATGCCCTTCCCGACTTCTCCCAGGCCCTTGGTTTGCTCTTGGAGTTTATCAAGTGTCAGTTGTTTAACACTTCTCAGTACATTCCTGAGAGTTCTTCATAGGAAAGTTGCTCTCTATATCTAAAAACACACCAACAGGAAAGAGAGCTTCTACATTTGACAAGAGCTTCTGTTGTGCATTCATTGTAGGTGGTAACCCCACGCCCCATGGGCCAGTCCATCAAAGCTTGGTGACATTCTTCCCCATCCACCCTTCTATAATGCAAAATAAGTAAAATGACTTTTAAACATACAATCTCATGAGAAAACAACATGCTATCTTTTTTCTCTTAATCTCTGGAGAGATTAGTTCTAGCTTGGAGATACTCAAGAAAAAATAATGTAGTAGTCCCAAAAGGAGAAAGTATTGATATACATCATGTGTTCACAATCCAAGTTGAGTAAGTTTGCCCTAAACTTTAAAATGGAGCAGAATGCTCTTAAAATCTTTGGAACTCAAGCAGTAATTTTACTCTCCTCTTGTTTCCCAATTGTTGGAACTCTGTCTCTTCTATCAGGAGGTTTAAGTAATCAGCGGTGAAGTAATCAGAAGGGCCAAGAATCAGCCTTTTCTCCTCTCTTGCAAAGCCAGGTTATACATAAGGAGAAAATTCTCTGGCCAGAAATGGCTAAGTTTGGGTGGGGGGAGGGGGGAAGGACAACTTCCTGCATGAATTCTCTCTACTCTGTTGCAGGTTGATCTCTGCTTCCTGCAATTGTGGCAGCTCCTTGAATTACAACAGAAAACCCAAAACTCTGGTCTAGACTCTAACTCAAGTCAGAACAGATCACCAGATGACTTGGTTGCAAGCTACATTAGCCCATCTCCCAGAGGGAAAGGAGTCCTACCTATTTAGGCCTAGCTCATCAGAGTATTACATTGGGAGTGGGCCCAGCTGGTCTTACCTCTTCCTATATATAGTCAAAGTACCTCAATACAAAGGATGACCCATTCAGAACACAGCGTGGGTTATCTTAGGTCCATAGCCAAACATCACTGCAGTTTACGTACCTCCTAAATTTCATGCCAATGTCAACTTCCAACACTAAAAGGTCCAAAAGAAACTTCTAAGCCCAAAGACAGTCTTTCTCATATAGTAAAATCTTCAGCATTGTAAGATAAGTAAAAATATTCTGAAAACAATATTTGCTTTTGAAATATCAGTAGTAGAAATGAGATCTATTTGTGCCCTGATCATAACTTACAAAAAAAGTATCAAGGAAATATACAATTTAATGACTTTGCTAACAGAATGGGATAATGGTATCTTTTTATTTTTGCATACCTTCCATAATACTTGTTTTGTTGCCTTTAATCGTAATAATATCAACAATAGTAACTACCACTTATATGTGCTCATTTAAAAGGTAATAGAAACTAGAGAAAAGGCTGTTTTCAAGCTCAGAAGAAACTTTTTTCTAAACTATTCAGAAACCCACAGAAATTTCCATGGTTATAAAAACTTATCAGCTCTTTATAACCATCACATAGAGGATGCCCAGATCCCTTGTAAAAATACATTCAAATTCAACAATACATACATATATAAATATATAACAGCTAATGGAGCAACAAAATACTCTTGCTGCTTTTTTCTTCTCCCTGTTTTCTCTTTCCTTCTCGGAGTTTATTTATCTAATTGCTTAAATAGCTAAAATTTAAAAATAAAAGACTGTGGGTTTTGTTTTAATTTTCATCGTGCTTTTGATTTGTCAACTATTGCATGCCCTCCATTTCAAAAGCAGTGTGTTGGAGTCTCATAGCTACATTCTATAGACCAATCCCTCACACCAACTTACAAACTCTGGACAAGTTTTTTGTTGTTGTTGTTTTTGTTTTAATGACCTAAGGATTCTTAAGAGTAAGCAAAAATAGGTAGGCTGTGGAGGAGAGTCAAAGCTTGTGGAAACATTGGCCTGGAGATGAGCTTCCAGGTTTTTTGTGGCCTTTCCTTAAACATAGTGTTTAGTTGCAGAATGGCATAGTGCAAGTGCTGAAAATGTTGACAGCAAACCCTTCATCTTTCTGGTCAGAAGTGCCAGGGAAAGAGCCCTGGCAACGACCATCACTGAGGAGTGAGACAGAAATTCAAGAGGGGAGAGAACCAGAGAAGATAATCCCCCCAATACTGTGTCTAAAACCCACACAAGTCTCAGACTAACCTTTGAACCATGTACATACGGGACAAACACAAAGAAGCACAGCAAAGCCTTAAAAACTGAACTGAGAATTGCCTGAACTGAACCTTCAACCAAAGAGAGTGAGATAGAGCTTAAAATGAGTCTAGATTGTTGAATTGCCAGCTCAATGGAAAACACCTACATTCCTCAGAGGGGATATAACAGAACCCAGACCCTACACAACAAAAAAATTCACAATGCCCAGGATATAACCCAAAAATATGTGGCATAAAAAGACCCAGAAGTGACCCATTCTCAAAAGGAAATATAATCAACAGATGCCAGGCCAGAGATGACCCAGATGTTGACATTATTAGACAAGGACGTTAAAGTAGCTATTATAATTATGGTCAATGAAGTAAAGGAAAATACGAGGTCTGATAATCAAGTTTGTGAACTCATCCTAGAAAAAGTGCTATGTGTCTCACTGCTGAATGCCACTATGGTCACCTTCAAAGTATTCTCCTTGGGAAGCTATGCACTGACACCAGTGCCTAACCTACCTGTCAAAGCAATTTTGGAACTCTTTTCTGGAATGGCCATCAGAGCTGTTGTTGTATCACCTTGATGTCTTCAATGTCATCAAAATGTCTTCCTTTCAACATTTCCTTTATCTTCAGGTAAAGAAAAAAGTCATTGGGGGCCAGATCAGGTGAGTAGGAAGGAAGTTCCAACATAGTTATTTGTTTGCTAGCTAAAAACTCCCTCACAGACAGTGTTGTGTGCGCCAGTGCATTGTTGTGATGCAAGAGCTCCTTTGGAACTGTTTTTGCACACACTTTTCTCATGTCAAGATTTTCATTAAGATTTCTGTAACTGTCCCTCTGATGATGTTTATTTAGTCTGCTATACTGCTCACAGTAAGCCAACTATTTTGACACAATTCACAAATTTTGGCAATGTTTTCATCAGTTCTGCTCATTATTGTATGTCTTGACCTCTCTTCACCAGTGACACTTTCTCTCCCCTCAGGAAAAACGTTTAATCCATTTGTATACTGCCATTTTATTCATGGCAGTATCCTCATAAACTGGACTAACAGGTCCCTGATTTCAGTTCCACCTTTGCCAAGTTTAACAAGAAATTTAATGTCTGTTTGCTGCTCTAATTTGAACTCTGACATTCTCATGATGTCAGCTCTGATGGCCATTCCAGAAAAAGGGTTCCAAAACTGCTTTGACAGGTGGGCTAGGCACTAGTCTTGGTGCATATCTTCCCAAGGAGAGTACTTCGAAGGTGATCATAATGACATTCAACTAGGTAGCACTTTGTCTAGGATGAGTTTGCGAACTTAATTGCCAGAACTCGTATGCTAGAGATGAATAAAAAGACAAAATCTTGGGAGAGAAATTTTTTAAATTGTAACAGAAATTTTATACCTGAAAAATAAAGCCTTTTCAATAAAAATTTGCCTGGCAAAATGGAGATGTCAGAGAAAAGAGAACTTATCCAATATGAGAAGAGGGTGAAAACTTTTTTTAAAGCTTTAAGGAAAATAAAATCAGAGCCTCAGAGTCCTATAAAGGCACTATCATAAATCTCTAACATACAGGCATGCACCACCATGCCCGGCTAATTTTTTTATTTATTGTAGAGATGAGGTCTCTTCAAGTTGCCCAGGTTGGTCTCAAACCCTTGGGCCCAGGCAATCCTTTCACTTCTGCCTCTCAAAGTGCTGGGATTACAGGAATGAGCCACCACACCTGACCTAAATCTTAAAAATATTTTAGACTGAATAAGAATAAAAATGAAAACAATATACCTGAATGTGAGGGGAATAGCTACAGCAGTGATTAGAAGGGAACTTATAGTTTAAAAGCTTAAATCAAAAATTGGAAAGGTCTACTATCAATAACCTAAAGTTCCACCTTAAGATAATAGTAAACAAAGTATACCCAAAGTAAATAGAAGTAAGGAAACAATAAGGACATAAACTAATCAAATTAAAAACAAAATAATTGAGAAAATTGGCCAGGCGCAGTGGCTCACACCTGTAATCCCAACACTTTGGGAGGCCAAGGTGAAGAGGCTTGCCTGAGCCAGTGGGTTTGAGACCAGCCTGGGCAACTTGGTGAGACCTCATCTCTACAGTAAGTCAAAAAATGAGCCAGATGTGGAGGCGTGTGTCTGTAGCTCCAGCTACTTGGAAGGCTGAGGTGAAGGATCAGCTGAGCCCAGCAGGTTGAGACTGCGATGGCCAGGAGTGTGCCACTGTACTCCAACCTGGGCGACAGAGTGAGACTCCCACTACAAAAATAAATAAATAATTGAGAAAATTAACAAAGCCAAGGTCTTGTTCTTTAACAATACCAACCAAACTGAACACCCCTGCCAGCTACACTGTTTCAGAATAATAGAGAGGGCCAGGTTCGGTGGCTCAGCCTGTAATCCCAGCACTTTGGGAGGCCGAGGTGAGTGGATTCCCTGAGCCTATGGGTTCGAGACCTGCCTGGGCAACTTGGTGAGACCTTGTCTCTACAATAAATCAAAAACTACCCGGGCATGGTAGCGCATGCTTGTAATTCTGGCTACTTGGAAGGCTGAGGCGGAAGGATCGCCGGAGTCCAGCATGTCGAGGCTGCAGTGGCCGGGAGCATGCCACTGTACTCCAGTCTGGGTGATGGACTGAGACTCCAACTCAAAAAAAAAAAAAAAGAAGAAGAAGAAGAAGAAGAATAGAGCACAAAAATTACCAATACCAGGAATGAAAGAAGAACATCCATTACAGATCCTAAAGATATTAAATGATAATAAAAGAATATAATAAGCAATTCATGCCAACAAATCTAACAACTTAGATTAAATGAGCAAATCTGAATATTACAACTTACTAAAGTTAACACAAGAAACAGAATGTCTGAATAGCCCTGTATTTTAATAATTTTTACTAAGTCTTACCATAAGGAAACTTCCAGGCCTGGGTGAGTCGCTCAAATATTCAAGAAAGAAATAATGCCAATGTTACACAAATTTTTTCAGAAAACAGAGG